GCCTTTTCCTTTGTATATGTCCAGGTTTCTATCTACCATCATCTTCCTTTTGCTTAATGTACTTCCTCTAACACTTGTGATAGTGCAGATCTATAGGGAACAAATTCCCTCCGTTTTTGTTTGCCCAAAGAAGTCTATTACGTCTTCATTTTTGAGTGATAGTTTTGCTAAAGATTAATAAATGCCTAGTTTTTTTCTCTCAGCAGTTTAAAAACTGTTCCATTAGCTTCTATACTGCATAGTTTCTGATAAGAAGTCTGTAGAAGCAGGAGAACATAGTAACAAACCTTAAGGGCGGCCCCAGCTGAAACCTTGATTGCAATGTTCTGGGAGCCTCCAAGCTATAGAGCCCAGCTAAACTGGCCTTAGAATCCTGACCACACAAAAACTGTGAGATATAAACCCCTCTAAGTCCTGGGGCAATGTGTTACACAACAAGAGATATCTAATTCAGAGACTATCCTAAAAACTTCCACAAATGAAAAATTAGTTACATGCAAATACCCCAAAAAAAGCACAGGACATCTCATCAGCTGCTTTCAAAACTGGGAAAATCTACTTCAATATAAAATTTCAGCCAGCCAAATCATTAATCAAATGTCAGGATAAAATACATTATCGGATATGTAGGGACCAAAAAAAAAAAAAATGGATCTCTCACATACCCTTTCTCAGGAAGTGAGATGTGTTCCACCAAAACAAGAAAATAAACCAGACAAGAGGAAGGTGCGGAATGCAAGGAAAAGTGGATCCAAACCAAGAGAGAGACAAAGGGAATTCCAAGAGTAAAAAAAAAAGGGCCAACCCAAGATGGGTAGCTATGTAATAGACTAGAACAACTGCCCACTTTGAAATAGGAGAGTGGCAGAAGTGTGTGAAAGAATAGGTTAATACCCAGATACACAGCTTGCAAATTTGGAAGGGGTCGTGTCTGGGTAACAGGTGAGAAAGGGGGACTGGTGAGCATGGCTCCCCTCTCAGCAACCTGTAGGGAAATTCTATCTCAGTCACCATGGGGACTTCCTCACAGCCACCATTTCCCCAAAGGTAATTTATTTACTGCATCACATAATTGATGTGTCTATAGTATCCTGCTTCACGCAGAATTAGTTCTAAGAGCTCAAACACTGTTACTCTCCATCTGCATCTCTGTTTAACCACATCTTTGCTTTATTCTGCATTCACTTCTCTCTCAGGTAGGCACTTATGCTAAAGGTATTAGTTCTTCATTGCTCTAGAAAATTCCTGAAACTGCGACTCATTGAACCAATCATTTTGACCACAAGAAGGAGGATATGATGACTAGCTAGGCCTAAAGGCCCTAATAAACGAAAAGACCCCTTTCACCACTGGAACTTATGGAGAAGTGAGAGTCCAAAATGACTTAGTTGTGCAAAAATTTCAAGTGGGCCAGACAGCCCTGGTGATACTCTGCTAGTTTTTCCCTTCTCGAGAGTAGCATAAGAATTGATTTGTTATGGTCCTAAAAAAAGGAAACTATCCTTGAAAAGTTTGAATGTGTGGAGAGCACATTTGAAAGGAACTGTTATGAGGACATGCAAAGCAGGAGTCTTTGGAATCTTCTACCACAACCCAAACTATAAACCTGAAATAGCATGAGGGTTCTTGAGGATAAGAAATCATCACACCTGAATACAGGAATTAGAGGCACTAGGTCACACCTCCACAACCTCCTTAATACCCTAGTTTTTGCCAGAGATAGGTCCCCTGCTGAGTGTAGAGTGTATTTGTCACCTTTGGGCTACAAAATATCCAGTCCTTCTCAACACACTTTGGCTTCCTTTTGAAAAATTGCTTCTCCCCCAACGTTTCATGGTCTTTTGAAATAGTATATCCAGACGTCTGCTTGCTTCCCACAAGTGAAGCCAGAGGGGTCATATTCTCTCTTTCCCCATGCTGGTACAACCAGGAGGACAGAAAAGTGAACAAGATTGACCTGTGGGCTGCTCCATCGTAAGGCTAAAGAAATGGCTGGGGGACATTCAATCCAGTGGTCGTATCCTGGTCATACTTCTCTGTCCAGCCTGTTACAGCGGTCCGTGCTTCCTAGTTCTGAACAAATGTCTTAGTTCTTGCTCACTTCTGAGCATGGTTCTTTAGGCCCCCACTGAGTCTGTGAGCCTGAAAAATCTTTCCAATAAATTTCTCTTTGCTTAAAGTTGCTTTAGTTGGTTTCCACCAATTTTTTTTTTTTTTTTTTTGGAAACTAAGAACACTAACATAATGGTTAACTAAGTAAACTGAATGAGATTGCTCCTGCCATGTCAATGCTATGCCTGATTTTGTTTCTATACTGAAAGATCATCTTAAGGCCCCTAATTTTTATAAGCTTTTATGAATCAAGCTAATGTAGTCTTCTGTCTCCTTGTAACACCTATAAGCAATAATAATTTGATTTATACACTCCCCAGTTTGTTCTATAATGCAGTGCAATGGAATTTAGACTTATGGTTTAAACTACATTCAAGAATTTATAATCACTCATTGCATTGATAATATATTGATTGGGGTTGGGGGGAGGATACAAACATGGAAGACAGCCCATAGATTAATTATGCAAAACACAAACCAAACAGTAAAGAAATATAAGTTGACCCAAAACCATTCAAAATGAAAATTTATAGTTATCTCATATCTTCTAGTATGCTTTCCTGACCCTGCTTTCTGACTGTAGGTGCTGTTGTTCAAAGTTAGAGCCATGATTCTGCTTCACCTGGATCAATGTTCTTGCTAATGTGCTAACTCAACACTATTCCTTTTGGTGGAAAAATGACACAAGCTACAGGATGTCTTCCATGGGGTCATCTGGGACAAATTATTGTGTAGCCAACCCCCCTCCTTGGGTTGGGCTGCATGCAGGGACCAATATGGACTCAAGTTATTAATAACATCTGGTTACATGATTAAACATTGTAGGAGAGAGTGTCATATGGCATTACACTCAATTGTGGAAGGGACTAAGCTGTTAAGCTGTTCTTTTTTGGTAATTAGTAAATTAAACATCTTTCAAGTGTGTCAATAATAATTGGGATCTATGAACCCCAAATCAACCAGTTAATAGGTCTATGGACATAGTTAAAAATTATATAGTAGTAATTTATTAAGTACAAAAGCCTAAATCATGTTTCTGTGCATAAGGGGCTATATATTTCACAAGTGTTCACTGGTATCCTGAGTTCACACTCCAGGGGAACAAAGATTCTATTCATTCCTCCCAGGAGCACCTGAAGCTCCCATATGACATGGGTACCCTTTTCCACACACCTCACTGTTTCACAGGAGACCCTTGCATGCCCGTGCACACACACACACAATTCTCAGAGATATTCTCAAGTTGCCTAGGTAAATGGGTTGCTGATGTTGCTAAATGAGTTCCATAAAAAATGATTAAAAGAGCAAACAAAACTTAAGGATTCAAAGACAACCAGGGGGTTAAACTATTGATATGTGTATGCTTTTCTATTTCTTCCTTCTGTGTACAGATTAGTTGTAAGTGACAGAGTCAATTTAAAGTTTGAGACCATGATTTTTATCTCTGTAAGAATTTGGCATGGTTGGCAGAATCTGTTGCAACAGGGAACCTCACCTCAGCAAAGGAAGCTGCAGAATCATTCACGTGATGTTTATAAGCCCCCTTGTCTTCCCCTCTTCACTTGCCCTTTGCTATCCTGGGTCGCCATATTTGGACTCCAGTACTCAACTGATTTTAGCAACCTCTAGTTTCAGGTAGGAATCATAAATTAAATCTTTTTGCCCAGCCTCTATTTCTCAAACACACACACACAGACACACACACCTTGTATCTTTCCTGTAACAGCAAATACAAGGATTTAATGTCCTCCTTTCTTCCCTAGGCTAATTGACAAAGCATGGCTACCACCACGTCTAAATGTCAGGAAGGCATGTCCAGCTTTCCTCAGTACTAGACCATCACAGTGCATGATCTGTAAACTCTGCAATAGGTGTAGTAAAGATGACCCCAAATTTCAATTTCTCCTTTACAAATTCTGGGACTATGATATCTTGAAACATCTGAAGGAAAACCAGGTAATCTCCATGCCAACCAGAATGATTCATGGTCTGCATGGAAGAAGAGATGAGGATCTGACACAAGTTGACAAGAAAGCAGCCAAAACCTCTTTAAAGATGTTGAGAGAAATGGAAAAAGAAGATGTGGTATATATACAATGGAATATTATGCAGCCATCAAAAGGAATGAGATCTTGCCATTTGCAACGACGTGGATGGAACTGGAGGGTATTATGCTGAGAGAAATAAGTCAAACAGAGAAAGACATGTATCATATGACCTCACTAATATGAGGAATTCTTAATCTCAGGAAACAAACTGAGGGTTGCTGGAGTGGGGGGTGGGGTGGGAGGGATGGGGTGACTGGGTGATAGACACTGGGAGGGTATGTGCTCTGGTAAGCGCTGTGAATTGTGCAAGACTGTTGAATCTCAGATCTGTACCTCTGAAACAAATAATGCAATATATGTTAAGAAAAAAAAGAAGAAGAAGATAGCAGGAGGGGAAGAATGAATGGGGGGAAATCGGAGGGGTAGACGAACCATGAGAGATGATGGACTCTGAAAAACAAACTGAGGGTTCTAGAGGGGAGGGGGGTGGGAGGATGGGTTAGCCTGGTGATGGGTATTGAGGAGGGCACGTTCTGCATGGAGCACTGGGTGTTACGCAAAAACAATGAATCATGGAACACTACATCTAAAACTAATGATGTAATGTATGGGGATTAACATAACAATAAAAAAATAAAAATAAAGATGTTGAGAGAAAAACTGAGGGGAAGCCCTCTAGGGGGTTCTTTTTCCATTGCCTGCCCAAGTATGACCCACTGAGACTATACCCCAGCCTCCCATCTCAACAACAGCTGAAAACCTTCTAATAATGGGTTCTTCCTCCTCCAGAATCTTTCAAAATCATCTTGTGTGGAGTTCCAACAAGTTTCCTGATGTTCCGTTTCCAAAGATGTGAGCCAGGGATACCAGGAACTTCACTATAAGGTGCTTTTTAATTTCATGGAAGATCAAGCCTTAAAGCATTAGCACTGAAATCCTCAAGCTGGCAAGGAGGCATACTTTAGAAATAATTAGAACATTTTTTTGTCCATTAAAGGTAGAACATTTGAGTACTTGAGACCAGATGAAAATGACATAAATCTCTCCTCAGGTAAGTCCAGACTGCAGAAGGCCAGGTTAGAAATGAATTGTTTGTATTTCAAATGAAAAAAGTCTTAGTCTAACAAGAGTCATTAAGAAAATACATTACATATTTTATATAGACATAGATTTAAGTCTTATATTTTACAAGTCTTAGTCTAATAAGAGGCATCGAGTAAGGCAATTTTTTAATTAAAAAAAGGAGAACTACTTAAAGTCTTATATACAACCTATCTATCCAGACACACACATAAAACAATTCTCTTTGTACCAATTTAAAAAAATCCTTACTTCCAAAAAGCACTTGGGGTGCTGTAATTATCAAATGGTCTGCTTGGAAACTTCTAAGAGTTCTGTTGCTTCGATTATATATACAACTTTGTGTTTACTCCTTTGGTTGAATGTGTATAAGTATGTATGTATTCGTATAAAGCTAAAATAAGAATGGGTTTTAAGCAAATACATCTATTTTTTTAAAAAGCATGGTCTTAACCTCAAAAAAGTAATATGACTTATGCAAAGGCTTCTTAAAACTGGAATTCTACACTGTAATTAAAAATTAGGATAGTAATTATTATGTTCAATGTGACATCAGAATTTTGACCCAAGTAGAGAGGCTCTCAGACAAAATCTTTAAAGCTTATATTTTATCTGTGGTGGCCATGAACATGTGTCTCTCAGATCCCTAAATGCAGAAAGTATTACTGGCCAATGTACCCAGAGTAAGCTGTACTTATTCCAAAATCCACCATGATGTCTGTACTGAATGAAGCCAGGCTTCCCAGCACTGCTCCCAGCCAGTGGCTCTGTGCCCCACGGACACAAAAGCCAGCCCCTTTCCAGGAGACATGAGCTTCCTCTAATGGACAACTTTGACTTGAGGACTCCTCATCCGTCATATTGAACCTTCTTAGGACTATGCTACAGGGACTACACTATTGGCTAAAACTCTTGCACCCCACCTTCCTTTTCTCCCTCTGTCCTTCACATCACAAGCGGACAGCTCTCCAGCTGCCCCCAGCTCCCTCCTCATTTTCCCTCAGAGATGTTCCCTTAGTAAGTCTCTTGTGTGGCTAATCCTGTCTTGCTATCTGTTCCTCAGAAGAGCAGGACTAACTCAGCCTCCTTTCTTAACACAGAATTCTAAGATACTATGTACCTTGTTAAAATCTTCCTGGAGGAAAATTAAAGATTTTGGTACTGGACTGGGATAAAACTTAGAGAATCACCTGGATTTGATACATTGTAAATTTAGGTATAATGTGGTATTATTAAATTGGTAGAAAAATGTTACCTATTAGATAAGGGAGCTAAAAAAGAATAATAAATTTTAAAGGTTTTAATATCATCTCATATTTACTAAATTAAATATTAATGGGATGTATGAAAATATGTAGGTTCTAATATTGCCAGAAATTAAACAGAAGACAGAATTAGGCTGCCCAACCAGAACTTGTGCATATGAATCAGATGCATCTATTACATTTGGTCATTTCATAAAGACCAGCCAGTAGCTAAATGAAACTTTCATACATAATTTGGGAAATTCATTTGCTTGATTTGCCCTTTACTTCTCATCTCTTAAGGTAGGCTGATAATTGGTTTCTACCATGCTCCAGGATTTGAATATCACATAAGAAGAAAATGTCTTGGCTGAAAGCCACCACCTTCTAAGAAAATTGCTGATAACCTCACAGAACTGAAACAAACTAAATCATACTAATCACATATGATATATGTATGTGATACATGTAATTACAAAGACTCAGAATGAATTATTATGAATGACTCTACCAGAAAATAATTGGGCTACACATCCTTAGTGGCATTAAGTATAAGGATAAAAATAACTGCAAAAAAAAATCTTAAACTTTATTTGATAATTTTGTAAGACAACATTAGTAATTGTATTAATTTTGTTTGGAATCAGGATTTTAAGCATAAGAGAAAGGGTAAGGAAATTATCAACATGTTTTATTTTTTTAAAGATTATTTATTTATTTATTTATTGGAGAGAGAGAGAGAGAGTGCACAAGCAGGAGGGAGGGGGAGAAGCAGGCTCCCCGCTGAGCAGGGAGCCTGATGTGGGGCTTGATCCCAGGACCCTGGGATCACGACCTGAGCCGAAGGCAGACACTTAACCAACTGAGCCACCTAGGTGCCCCTAAAATCAAAATGTTTTAATTAGGAACTATAATGTTAGAACTTAATTAGAAATATCAATAACTGCAAAAAAATCTTAAACTTTATTTAATAATTTTATCAGAAGACATTAATAATTATATTAATTTTGTTTGTAAACAAGATTTTAAGTATAAGAGAAAGGGGAAGGAAATTATAAAAACAAAATGTTTTAATTAGAAACTATAATGTTAGAACTGAATTAGAAACATCAATATGAACCCATGCTTTAAAAAAAAAAAGTATGTTTCCCAATTCTGTCAGCTAAAATGAGCTGGGAAGAACAGCCTAAGAGAATGAACCTAATGTGTAAAATTCACTATTATGATTTCTATTCCCATCTTTCCAGTATACCCTGGAGAAATGGCTGATTCCATGTCTGGGGTAGGGTAGGTTATAAGCCTGGGGCAATTTGTTGTACCAGCAGACAAGAAATAATGCAGATTAATGGGATTGTGTCAAAAGAACACAAGTGTTGTAACTCCCAGGGGTGCATCAATTTGAGCAATAAAAGACAATGAATGTTGCAGGTGGTTAGATTACACTGAATCTCTGAAAAGCCATGAGTCCATAATGATATACAAGAGAAAAATTAGCATAAAGCTGAATAAGGTGGTGAACTGAATAGCCTGTATTACTTTTGAATCCTTTATTCAAATATGATGTTATTTTGATTCATTTACTTTATCAGTGAAAAATATAGAATTTAGTAAATGTTAAATACATAATTAAAAAGTGTTTTCTGGCTTAAGGGAGGGTGCCAGTAAAATGATCCCATAAGCTGTGACTGCAAATTGGACAAAGACATTCAAGATCACCAAATTTTAATCAGATACCATTTCAAATATCCATAGCATTTTATGGTCTTTCTTAAGAATATAGAAAAATTGCAAGATACCATTAAACTCAATGATTTTTAAAACCAGTTTGAAAGGCATTTGCAAAGGTCTTAAAATCCTGTTAAGTTAAAAGGTAGAGAAGTTAGAAATTAAACATTACAGAAGTAAAAATATAATTATGTATTTTATAGAGTCAAAATACAAAATCCAAGTAATCGGCCCAGATAAGTGCCACCAACCTCTGCGAATGGACAGAAGCAGCAGGTAGTGTGTGCAGATTTCCACCCAAGGACATGATCCATGTGATCCATAGCATTACTGTCTGGCAAGCAGGAACCTGTGTGTATTTCAGATTTTATACACTTGTAACATATAAGAGAATTTGGCCTATTAGAGTGATGGCCTGTGTCTCTAATTTAAAATGTGTAATTCAATAATTTGTTTAGGTTGGTCATGTTAAGTTAAGATATAACCATGTACAGTATTCAAACTACTATTAAAAAAAAAACTTTGAGGGGCACCTGGGTGGCTCAGACGGTTAAGCGTCTGCCTCTGGCTCAGGTCATGATCCCAGTGTCCTGGGATCAAGCCCCTCATTGGGCTCCCTGCTCAGCAGGGAGTCTGCTTCTCTCTCAGCCCCTCACCCCACTCGTGCTAATAAATAAATAATATTTTTTAAAAACCCTTGAGATTCATCACATTCACTGTTTAATTCACTAAATATGTAAGTATTTAATACAAGGATAGATTAGGGAGAACTTAGTGACAGCTTAGCACATACTAAATAAAGCCCATGAACTTTTACCACTGGCCCAAGTTATGAGAGGCTGTATCATAGTCAAATAACCCCTACGTGTTCCTTTATTTTCATTTGTATTCTTATACTGTTTTAAGAAAGCAATTTTACAAACAAAAAATATATATGAGGTGATAAATACTACTACTGGCCCAAGTTGTGTATATTAATGGAAATATACATAAATATAAAATTAACTAATTCTCTCCAACATCTGAGTTTGGCCAACACACAGGATGGTACTAACCAAGCAATGAATGATGCCCAGTGCAAATGAAGATCCTTTAATCTTTGTGTTAACGAAATGCCAAATACTAATAGTAAAAATCTGGAGGTCACACCAAATTTTCATAGAGAAATGAGGTACAGACCCACATATTTCAGCAAAAATAAAATATCCAACCAAATATTTTAGAGAAGTGGCAGTTTGTTTTGACTTGCCTTCATCACCAAAACTAAATACCTCATCTTATTCTATGGGGTGTGCTGTTTGACTGACATTGAATAGAATTAAATATAAGCAACCTCTCCCAAGTGCTCTACATCCTTACAAATTTTGGATCGATTTAATTTTCCATAAAATAAATCCATAATAGTAAAAAAATTGCTTGTGCTGATATTAATCGAAGTTCTACCTCAGATCAAATTTTGACAGAATCCTTGTCATATGAAGAAGTAATAAAAAAAAGTATATCCTTCCCCCCCCCCCCCATGCAAGGGAAAGCAATATATACGCGTGCAGGGTATTGGTACTATTCATTAATAATATTATGTTATTTCTCTGAATTTTGCGATGATTTGTGTTGTCAGCTTTCCAAAATGTGTAATTTGTTGCGATTTCTCATCTAAAAATATTCACTTCCATATCTAACTTTTAAATCTTTTTCTTAAAAGGGGTCCCTCTATTTGTATAAGCTGTAAGCCCCACAAAACCTGGATCCGCCTCTGACCATATTATTTTAGAAAAACCAAAAAGGCTCTCGATGCTTCTGTACTGACACGGAAACAAGTCCATGATACACTGCTAAGCATAACATTCAAACTTGAGAATAATATCAATAGATTATCCCACTTAAGTAAAAAAAATAAAAAGTTTTTCAAGTTTGACTGTATTTTTAGCAAAGCACATGTCTCCACTTACTAGTTTTTTAGCTGGAAAAAAAAAGCAAAAGTGAATTTTCGACCTTAACTCATGCTTGTAAACAGCAACACAACACTGCAACGACTCCAATACGCCGATTCCTTCACATTTTAGCGTTCTGAAATTGGGTTGTAACCTGAGATCGCTGGGAAGCCGTGGTCACTCGGCGCGCATGCGCAGATTTGGACGTGGCCGTTCCGACGTGGTCGTCATCCGCGGGGTTGTGTGCGTTGTCAGTACGACCTTGAGTTTAACGGCCTTTTAAAAATGTCTCCCAGAAGATTACGTGCTGATTCTGAATTGAAATGAAGATGAAATTCTGTGTACGCAAAAGGGCAGGGAAAGCCAGCAGCGGGGCGCACACTTGATCCTGGGCAGCGAGCCGCCTCGGGCGTGACGGCCTGGTCCACGTGCTTCTCGGCACCCCAGAGGGCGCCGGGCCCGCGGCCGACGCAGCCGCGCTGCGGTGCCTGAGGGGCTGCGCACTGAGTTCAGGGCCAGGGAGGCCTCGGGACCGTACGTCGTGCAGGGGAGGCGCCGACGTCGTCGTTCCCGCTGCCTGCACGCGAGCCGCGCGGGTAGAGCGCCCTCCCGAGTCCTGGGCCGGGGAGGGGAGGCGCTGCCCCGGAGCTGGAGCGCCCGGCCTGGACACCGGCGCTGACGCCCTTTAGGAAGGGAAACCTTGCGCGAGCGGCGAGATTCTCTATCGCAATCGGTGCTCCTCAGTCTCTCCGACTGAAATCGAATTCAGTGTGCTTTCCATTCCGCTGTCCGCTGTCACAGCTTGTGATAAATATTCTGTTGTTTGTCTGACACCGAAGTAGCTCTTAACAGAAATGCTGCCAATCAGAGCAGAAAATGTAAAGCCTTTAAGAATTTGAGAGCCTTTTGCTCCTTAGCGGGTGCACCCAGTCTCTTTCTTTCCTTTGTTTCATTTGCACCGTGTTACCAACAAATGTTATTCTTTGCCTTTATTGGGGATGACAAGGTTATTGCATTTGATCAGATTAGTGTTAACCCTCGGCATTTTTAGTATATAACAATAAGGCAATATGCTCTTACATCTTTAACCTCAAATAAAATTTAAGCTGGAAAAAACCGTCAAACTTTAGATTGGTTTAGCTTATAATGAACTACCTCAGCCCTGGCAGGGTACATTTTAAACCAATACCAACAAATCTGTTTCTTACTGGCGTGAATCCATATGCACTTTTTAAAATGAGTTTCATAAATAATAATTAGCAATTAGGTATTATTTATCAGGTCCTGATCTAAGTATTTGGAATTCTGTCAATCCTGACAGCAGTCCTGAGGTAGACAGATTTTCCTCATCTTGCAGATGAGGAAACTGGAGGGACAGTAAGAAACCCAGGCCATCTGGCCCCAGAGGTTGTTTTAAAATAGTTATTCAATGAAATATTCTAGAGCAGACTGGAGATGATGGATATAATGAACTTGGGGCCTGTGAATGTAAAGTACCACATTTTCATTAATACCTTATATCTTATATAAGAAATAAAATCAACCTTTGGAAAATGAATTGTCTATGCTCTTATCTTAAAAATAAAGATGATATGATAACAAGTCACATCATTTTGCCAAGAAGTTTATGGCACTCTATTATTTGACTAATACTCATTCACAGCACTCCTAATATAAAACAGTTTCAGAGATCTAAATTATAATGCTAACTATGTGACGACTATTAAATTTTGCAGCATAGACTTACGGTCGAATATAATTTTATTACTTTCTTATTTTACTCTCTTCACTGCCATCCTTTTATATTTTGAGTTTGATTCAACTGCCTTTCTACTAAAATGCTTTATAATGTATATTTTTTAGACTTTTGTTGTTATTAATTTGTACAGGTCTCCCCAACTTTTATTCCAAAATTTAAAAAGCATAATAATTATTATCCTAATTTCTTAAGTGAAAAAACTGAGGCTCCAACAGGTTAAATATTACACACAATATCACATACTAAGGCAGATAGGTAGTATAGACCAGAAATCCTATCCTAGGGCTCAACAGACTTCAAATGGTTTATGTAAATGGCTTGTGTTTATTCACATATCTTCTTAGAACCAATATATCTCAGAAGCATAGACCTATCATCATAAAAATGTTGTTAAACATCACTTATGTGCTCTAAGTACAATTAAGTCAGAACAGAACTTTACCATTCGATTTTTTAAAGATGTAGATCCTAACACTTTCCTATGTTTTTTTTTAATCAACAGGTTAATAGTATTGGTCTTTTCCCCAAAGATATGGGATGAAAATTAGTGGGAGGTCGGGGAGTTCGTTGTTATAAAAACTAGAAAGGAGGAACTCAGGGCTGGAAAGGAAGACCCTGATTTAATTTCAACATCTGGTTTTCCACATTATATATAGGCAGTGGTGATTCTGTGCCATTTTTATGCAGATATTTCCTCTCCTAGGATTCTCTCATCTTTGTTATTATTTGAAGCTCTGATCTAGCTCTGAATCCGAATCTGTTCTTTTTTTCTCCCCCAACTCTGTTTCAAAACTTCTGTAATTCCTTTGCTGTGAAGTCTAGAATCTCTCCTGCGAGTGAGCTTACTGGGTGGACCAAACTGCCATGGAACAGGATTGTTAGGAAGTCGATATGTTGCTAAGAAGTCTTGCTAATTTACTATATAAGCTGAATAGAGTGTCAGAGAATTTTCCTTTCCCCTGATGAACTTAGGAGGTGCATGTTTTGGCCTGTATCAGTGATTGTGTTTGGATCGATTACTTTAAAGTTACAGTTTTTTATCCATATATGAAAGTTACACCTAATTATCCCCGTAATCAGTTAAACAAATGTCAGCTGTTCGTATTTCAACTCTTTCTGCCAATAACTGCTGGAAGTGATTTAATGCAGCTGGAGAATAACACTGACAATCATTATAGCCTGCAAAGTGTGAAATAATTTCATTGCACTATTGTGTCTCTTTAGTCTGAGGACTGATCATGTTCAGGGGATGACACTTGGGAAAAAAAGCCGGTTTTATTATAATGAAGGAAATCATGGAAAAGGGGGGGGGGGTGAGTCCACGGGCAGCTCAGTACTATTTATCTGGCGAACTCTTCTCAGCGGAGAGCTTGTTTTTATAAGAAGTCACTTTAAGTGTTAAAGGGAAATATTTTCATCTAAACAGGAGGGTTGTGCTTCATTCAGATCTTTCCCCCCATCTGATAAAAACCCTTGCTGAGTAACAGCACAGATGTGGCTCATTTGGGGGAAATGAAGGAAGAGGAGAAAAACGCTGGGTGGAGCAAAGGAGTAATGATTGATGCTTCCCCTTTTCACCGGCCCTTTTTCTTTTCACTTACCTGAGCCACTCTGGGGTCCACTTTGAAGGCGCGATGCCCTCGCCTCTTCCCCGGCGCAGTTACCTCCCCAGCGAGTTTTCTCCCTCGGCGGACTCGCGGCCCTGCAGCAGCCCTTCCGAGCTCCCAGGCAAGGCAGGAAAGCTCTCCCTGGGTGGCACTCCTCCCAGGGCACCACGGCTACCACGCCGGCTGGCCTGGTGCTCCATCGACTGGGAACAGGTGTGCTTCCTGCAGAGGCTGGGAGCTGGTGGGTTTGGCTCGGTGTACAAGGCCACTTACCACGGTGTTCCGGTGGCCATAAAGCTAGTGAACAAGTGCACCAAGAATCGACTGGCGTCCCAGCGCAGTTTCTGGGCTGAGCTCAACATCGCCAGGCTTCGCCACGATAACATCGTGCGGGTGGTGGCTGCCAGCGCGCGCACGCCTGCGGGCTTTAACAGCCTAGGCACCATAATCATGGAGTTTGGTGGCAATGTCACCTTACACCAAGCCATATACGGTGCCGCCAGCTGCCCCGAGGAGGATGTGCAGCCTCACTGCTGTGCCGGAGAGCAATTAAATCTGGAAAAGTGTCTCAAGTATTCCCTAGATATTGTGAATGGCCTGCTTTTCCTTCACTCGCAAAACATTGTACACTTGGACCTGAAGCCGGCTAACATTCTGATCAGTGAGCAGGATGTCTGCAAAATCGGTGACTTCGGTTGCTCGGAGAAGCTGGAAGATCAGCTGTGCTTCCAGACCCCTCCTTACCCCCTAGGGGGCACCTACACCCACCGAGCCCCAGAGCTCCTTAAAGGGGAGACCCTAACGCCCAAAGCTGACATCTACTCCTTTGCCATCACTCTCTGGCAAATGGCTACCAAGGAGGCGCCTTACTCAGGGGAGCGGCAGTACGTGCTCTACGCCGTGGTGGCCTATAATCTCCGGCCGGCTCTGTCAGCAGCTGTCTTCACTGACTCCATCTCTGGGAAAAGACTTGAGAAGATCATCCAATGCTGCTGGAGGGCCAGGGCTTTGCAGCGGCCAAGTGCAGAACTCCTCCTGGTTGACCTTAACTCTTTAAGAGCTGAATTTGACTGACTCTTAACCTGTATCGACATAAGCTTTGTCTTTATTTCTATTCGCTTTTAAATTAGTGACCATGTAGAGAAAAAAACATATTTGCAGGACGGATTTTTAGAAAATAAAGTTACTTAAAACTCCTTTTGGTCTCAAATGCTTCTTCTAAGACAAGTAGCATAGCTACAAATCTAGTAGTCAGCTTAATATTGTTAGTAACTAAACTTAGTCCCTCACAGAGTTATATATATATATATATATCTTTCGCTGCAAGTGTGCTTACTGCAACAGTACTGCACTTGTTCCAATTTGTTATTGATGAAGCCAGCTTGTCCAAAACAGAACTGAATTGTAAAGTGCCAAAATGTTCTATAAATTCAAATAATATGCTCCACACCCACCACCTAAATGTAAACTATTAACAGTTTACTTGCTCCCAAACCACACAAGTGAAAATTTTTTGAAAAATATTAATTTTTTTTTCTGCTCCTCTGCCCAAAACTTCTTGTTTGTAATGACCTTCATATGTAAAATTCACCAACTGAGGCAAATTTATTTTGAAAGGAATAAGATCTTAGATGATTTCTTGTGATATTTTGAACTTGTACATGCCACGAATAGAAAAATTGTGCTAATATGCTTCTAAACTGGGTCTCTTTTTCTTATTATTTGGATTCAGAAGGGGATGACAAAGCAAAGACTTCTGATATGTGAGGGAAAAAAATGACAACCCTGAGGAAGAGTAAAACTTAACATTTGGATGGAGGAGACCAGACAAGTAAAACCAAACTGCCCATTCTAGGATTCAAGACAATGGCTGCTGGTACATAAGATTTAAAAGAGTGAGGTGACTGGATTTTGTTATTAGGACCACTGTGACTTCCATTTAGCAACAGTAGTTTCTGTGACTTGTGGAGGGCAAGGCCATTGCCAATGGACCAGACAGTTACAGCGAGGACTTGATGTAGAAGCTATACTTGGGCTGTTGAGGAAAAAGGGGGGAACAGAAACTTTCAAAAGGGATAAGATACATATGTTCTTGGGTTTGGGGTTTGGTTTAGTTGTCTTGGGATGAAGGAACTGAGTTTATGTGTGAGTGAAGCAAGAAGAGACAAAGATAACTGACAAAATTTAAGAAGTTATAAAAGAAATGAAAAGTAGTACCTAGGAAAAGAGACTATAGCTTTGCAGAGAAAGAGCATCTCTTCCCAGATGTGAGCAAAGGAAGGTGGGACAACTGCCATGGAAGATAAGTTTCTACATAAGAAAAAGAGACACTGGGGAGGTTCGCATCTGTGGACTTCTATTTTTCCTGTTAAGAGTGATTGAGAGTAGGAGGTCTACAAGGAGATCATGGTTTGGAACTGTTCTTGAGGGAAGCAAAAGGGAGCTGTCCATGACTACATAAAATATTGGTTCAGTTCTGCTAGCTCTGTCCGTGTAGCTTAGAGAACAAACCACCCATATACCAATGACTAATTTCCTCCTCTGTTCATTGTAGCAACAGGAGTTCATGTTGGAAAGTTTAAGATACAATGGCTCACAAACAAAATTATGACAAATCCGTTTGTTCCACCATGTGTGCTAAAATGAGATTCTAATTATGCTGAATACCTCATTAACAGACTGTCAGTGAGCTACATGAGTATCCTCTATGAAAAGTATTAAGGTCCAGAATTCACTTCCGGAATGAACATGGCCACAGCTTAGATTCAAATATCTTCCCTTCTCCTGGAAACCAAAGTGGGAGGTACCTTGTAAATTCCATAATCAGTGACATGAGGAGACATAGAAAATGTACAGACTCTAAAAGGTATGCAGTGATGCCGGATGACTGGACGGAGCCTGTAGGAAAAGAGTGCACCGAGCAGCGGAGGATAGCTCAGGGGAGGATCTGTCAGTGGCAGATCTCAGAAAGTCTTGGCAAACATAGATGTCCTGAAGAACAGATACACACTGAAGTGCAAATGTTGAGGAAAAAACTCCTGAGGAGCAGGATGAGGTCAGACTGAGCTGAGCTTACAGGAGTTGATAGAGAAAGAAGGAACAGAGTGTTGAGGAGGGTCTAGCCACGGCAGAGCTCAGAAAGTGGAAGCAACTGAGCCCTTTCTGGAGGTGCCTGAGTGGCTCAGTTGGTTAAGCATCTGTCTTCAGCTTCGGTCATGATCCCAGGGTCCTGGGATCGAGCCCCGCATGGAACCCCATCCCAGGGTCCTGGGATCAAGCCCTGCATCAGGCTTCCTGCTCAGCGGGGAGTCTGCTTCTCCCTCTCCTCCCCACTGGTTCTCTCTCTCTCACTATCTCTGTCACTCTCACTCAAAGAAAGAAATAAAATTTTTTTTTAAAAAAAGGAAAAAAAAAAAAGCCCCTTCTGCACATGAGAGAGTCATTCTGGGGGTGGGGCCAGGGAATGTAAGACAGACACAGAAGCCTCCTAAGCCTGGTTTGCTTGGAGAGAGAAAAAGGTGTGGTTGCCTGAAGAAACCCATAGAAATGCCATACTTGAAGGAAACAAATACAGTCTGTGGGGTCAGAGAGAAAGGAAGTCTTTGAGCTGTGGGAAGACTGCTCTGACAGGAGGTAGAGTAAGCATGTGGACTTCTTCATCTGTAATAGTTAACAGTCAAAGGAAGTACAAAGATAAGTATTAAAGATATTCTATTGACTTAAATTGGGGCAGAGGAGGACAGAGGGAAAGGGATATAAGCTGTCAGTGTTATTACTGTTCATAGAAGTAAGCTCATATATATCATCTAGGATTAAGGAAATTATATACAGTTAAATAATTGAACAAAGATACAACAAACATCCTTCCTCAAAATCAGAACTATTGAAACAAAACAAAAAGGCAAAAGAACCAAGCACAGAATGCAAGACAACAACATAAACTACAGAAACAAAATAACATAAAATGTGAGAGTTAAGATCAAACTCATCTGTCATTATCAATAAATGCAAGTGGCTTAATTCACCTATTAAAGAAAATCTTTGTGCTGTAAGATATAGTTCTTTTTTAAAAGCACAGACAAAAATATACCAACTAAATGCAAGCCAAAAATAGGAGCCACAATTTTATAAGAGAAAATGGAATTGAAGCCAAAGAAGGATATTGGACAATGTCAAAGAATACAATTCACACTAAAGAAACAAAAGTTAGAAATAACTGTGAACCAAACATTATAGTAACAGTTTTCACAGACCAGAAATAACAAGCAGTATAAGAACAAATTGAAACATTATCCATAAAAGACTAACAGATTAGATGGGCACAAAAAAGAGATATGATGTAGAAGACATTGAAAATTAATAGAATACATTTAATTGTAACATAGACATTCAAGACCATAAAAAATAAATATAGCTTCTTTTCAAGTACCTGTGGAAAACTGATCCATACCATGAAGAAAACTTTAAATTCCAAAACCTAAAAATAGTAAAGATAAATAAAATAGAAATTTTAACAAAATTTTCAAAGCACCTTTTTCTAGAAATTTTAATACTCTTAAGTAACTGTGCATTTGGGGCGCCTGGGTGGCTCAGTTGGTTGGGCAACTGCCTTCGGCTTGGGTCGTGATCCTGGAGTCCCGGGATCGAGTCCCGCATCGGGCTCCCTGCTCGGCGGGGAGTCTGCTTCTCCCTCTGACCCTCCTCCCTCTCATGCTCTCTGTCTCTCATTCTCTCTCTCTCAAGTGAATGGGTAAAATCTTGAAAAAAAAAAAAAAAAGGTAACTGTGCATTTAAAAGAAAAGCTAGTCAAAATTGCAGGAACTCCAGAGAGCAACAATAATGAAAACACATATATTAGAGCCAAAGGAAAACAATGAAGTCAAAGAAAATTTGTAGTCTCAAGTAGTAATAACACCTACAAGAATATATAATATTTTAGAAAACTACAATTTACCAAATATGGCACCAGTGAAGATAGAAAATCTAAACAGGCCAATTTCTACAGAGTAGAGAAGGTTGTCCAATCCTTCCCCTCCCCACCCCATAAGGCATAAGACTCAAAGTCCACTGACTTCTAGCAAACCTTAAGGACCAGGTAATCTTGGTGCAACTTAAATTAGAAGAAAACTTCCAAATTCTTTTTGAGAATAACACACTGAAGCCTGATAAAGATTGCTTTAAAAAGAAACTACAGACCAACCTCATTTATAACTATCAGTGTAAAGGTTCTAAATAAAATATTAGCAAACAGAATCCAACAGTTAAATTTTTTTTAAGATTTTTATTTATTTATTTGACAGAGAGAGAGAGACAGCTAGAGAGGGAACACAAGCAGGGGGAGTGGGAGAGGGAGAAGCAGGCTCCCAGTCAAGCAGGGAGCCGATGCAGGGCTCAATCCCAGGACCCTGAGACCATGACCTGAGCCAAAGACAGACGCTTAACAACTGAGTCACCCAGGCGCCCCATCAACAGTTATAAAAATCATGCACATATACATGATTAACAAACATGCATGATAAATAAACATGGATTTATTCCAAGATGCAAGGATGGTTCAATATTTAAAAATCTATTAATTCAGTGGGGGGAGGAGCAAGATGGCGGAGGCGTAGGAGACCTAAATTTCATCTGGTCCCAGGAATTCAGCTAGATAGCTATCAAACCATTCTGAACACCTATGAACTCAACAGGAGATTGAAGAAAAGAATAGCAGCAACTCTCTGAACAGAAAAGCGACCACTTTTTGGAAGGCAGGATGTGTGGAGAAGTGAATCTGAGGCAATATTTGGGAAGATAGACGGGGGGAGGGGGCCTCTGTCAGCCACTACTGGCAAGTGATAGAGCAGCAGAGCACAAAATCGGAACTTTTAGAAGTCAGCTCCACTGAGGGCCGTCACTCCAGTGGCTAAGCGGGGGGTGGAACCCTCACTGGGACAGTGTGGTCTCAGGACCCCCGGAGTCACAGAAAGACCAGGGGTGCCTGAGTGCAGCAGAGCTCCCAGGTATCGGAGTGGGGAAGTCGGCTGCAGAGACGGAGCCAAGAAGCAGGTTCTCAGCTTGGGGTTGCCATAAAC